TTCAGGGGGTGGAGTTTATTTGATATTTGGATATTTGACATTTGGCTTGTAATAACTGATAACATTTTCCTCTTTCCTTTTATTTATGTATATATTCTTCTCACTTTCTCTATTGATGTATATATTCTTTCTTTTCCCCTCTCATTATGTACATTCATTTATGTCTTTAGTAGCTTTCTTTGTAGCTTCTTTATTTTGTTTTCTTATTAGTCTATGTTTAATTTTGTAGCTTATTTTTATGTTTTTAGTAGTCAATAAGCCTTTGATTTTCTTAATGCCACGGTTCTTTCCAAAAGTAGTTTTTGTGTGAACCGGGTGATTCTTCCCAACGATGGATGGCGTGACAACCTTCTTAAGGGATTGAATCCATTTTTTATGTTTAGGTAAGAATAGTAGTAGTAATGAATAAAAAAGAGTCAAACATGCTTTACTTGGTACCAGCACACTTAACTACGTGCTTATGGTTAAAAATAAGGTTTTAGGGAAAGAAGTAGCTCTAATTAGCGACCCGGTGACTCTTGCGTTAACTTAGGTAATCATCGAGTGGTTTAATCGAGCTATAGTGATTTTCAATCTTGAATATGGTCATTGTGGGCCCTCGAATCTATCCTTTTTAACATTCCAGTTGCGTGAGAGGTGAGATGATTTTGTTGCAAGTCCAAGTACCCGTGCGAATGGTCTAGAACTTGCCCCGAATGTGTTTCTAGGAGAAATTTTAAGTTTTGCTTTGCTTGAGAAGTGATTGTAGACTCTCCTTGACCAGCTTGAAATTTTTTATGACCCACCAAAGTTGTTATCCCTAGTCAACCAATTTGAGCCTAAAATCTTTCTTTTTTGATAACCATGTTACAAGCCTTTACCCATTTTATAGTGACCTTCTCTTGGCACCCGAGCTTTTCTTAACACTCTTGAGAAACAATTGGCTAAAACATAAGTTTGGGGGAGAGATGAGGAGTTTGAAAAAGGTATCAAGGCACAAAAAGAGAAAAGAAATGAAGAAAAGGGAAGGCAAGAAAAAGAAAAAAGAAAAAAATGCAAAAAGAAAGTGAATAAGTTAAAAAATTAAAGGGATTTCAAAAAATGGTAATGATGCAAAGCATGGAGAAAATAAAAAAGGAGCAAATGAATATCATGACCAAGAAAGAGTGATGCTAAGTCTCTCTAATCCCCTCCTCCCCCCCNATAGAGTGCTTAAGAAAAGATGAACTCGTTCTATCCTAGTATATCCAACTTTAGTCCAAAAGCCTTCATTACATTCCCAAAAAGCCCTGCGTGATTTCAAGTCGAGTGAGCTTATATTAGTGGTGATTTACATGAGGGGCAAGCCTATGGTACCTAAAGCCGTACTTGTGACATTCTTTTGAGAGAGATGAGCGATTTTTACCTTTTATAAAACTTTGAATTGAGTGCTACATTCTTAAGTGAGGTGCAAACGGAGAGTAGAAGAGGAGGAGTTTGGGATCCACAATGACCTACATGAAAGAGCGAGCTTCCTTGATGAATAAAGTCAACTCTTGATGCTCAAGTGTCACATTAGAACTATTTGTGCTTAAAACTTCAAATCATTGCCTTGTTGATAATTCATAAGTGTTGTGGGTAATTGCTGGTCCCAATTGATGTGTGTTCGATACACCTTAGATTAGCTGGAATAGCTCTTATCTTGTGGAGGTGGGAATTACCTTATTTTTTTAGGACAAGCAAAAGCTTAAGTTTGGGGGAGTTGATAAGTGGGGATTTTGACTACTTAATAGCGTTTTTTAGCTTTTATTTTAGTCCAAAAGTATTTAATTGTATTCCCGAAAATCGATGAAATATGCTTAATTGCAGGAGTATTGGAAAATGAGCCACTAAGCTGAAATCCAACTGAAAAATGAGTGATTTGAACTCAAGGACAGAAATCAGGCACAAAAGCTCAAGTGCGGACCGCAGATTTTCATCTGCGGCCGTAGAATGTGAAGGAAATTTAACAGAGTCCAAGTGCAAAGTACGGACCACACAATTATTATGCGGCCGCAGAAGCTATGCAAGAGCTAAAGTTCAGAGAGTCTCATTTCAAGCTCAAAAAGAAATGCGGACCGCACAATAATTGTGCGGTCGCACTCAAAATGTGTGGTCCGCAGAAGAACCCTGTGCAGCCACACTCAGAAAGGTGCAGTCAGCAGGAGAACCCTGTGCGGCCGCACCTAGAAAAGTGCAAACCGCAGAATATGAGAGATATGGCCGCGATTCAGAATTGTGCGGCCGCAGATTTAAATCATGTCAAGACTGAAGTAGAGTGCGGACCGCACATGAAATTGTGCGGCCGCAGAACCTCCGAGAAGGGCAATTTTATCCGAAAATTTCAGCACTATATAAATAGAATAGTTTTACTCTTTTAGGTCAACTTATGTACCTTTTGACATCAGCAGCCGTTTACTTTGCTTCTTTTAGTTATTTTTGCCATTTTGATCTTTTTGAATATTAGTTTTATCATTTTAATCTTTAATATGGGTTTAATTATCACTCATTCTTCTTCATCTCCTAATTTAAGTATGAGTAACTAGATTTTTACTAGGGTTGTGACCCAACCCTAGGGTGTGAACTTAATGGGTGTTTGATTTATTGCTTGTTTATGGCTGGGTGTTGATTATCTAGCCTAGTTCTTGCTTTTATTTGAAGATTTAATAGTTGCAAACATTATTTTATGCCTAATCGACTTGGTCTCTACTTGAGAAAGAGGGACTTATTCTAGGAAAACTTGGCTAGCAAAAAATTGGGTCAATCGAGATATTGATAAACCCAATTAAAAGGTTGAACCTAGAGATAGTACAACCCGACTTGAGCTTATTATCAACTGCTTTGTTCAATACCCATTTGGAGTTGAGAAAGCCAAATTGGGCAAAATCACTCTCTGACCGAGAGGTGTTGAGTAGGTACTTGAGTTTTGATAGCTATAATATATCCCGACCAAGAAAACAAGCTTTAAGGCTTACAACTCATTAAGCGAACACCTAAGTGAAGGTCATAGCCCTAGGCTTTTTTACCATTTGAAAAACAAACAACTATAATTTTCTAGTTTTAATTCTTAGTTGTCATTCTTAGTTTTAAATAGATTTAAAAACAAACCAACTTTTGCGGAAGTATAATCCGAGATAATTCGAGCCCATTCACTCAAATATATACTCCTGAGTCTCATTCATAGCTCCCTGTGGAAAATCGACCCCGACTCCTTGTTGGGTACTATTATTGCTCCGACCGTTTCACAACCCCAAATAGAGGTGTGGTTTGGACGAGATCAACTACCTATATAGAAATACAACTCATGAAAGAAGCATCTTGATAACCAAATGACAGTCTAATCGGTGCCAATCCAAATTAGTCGGGATAATGAATTCCAGATACCGAATGGCAAAATAGGAGACATGATAGGCACAAAATAAGCATCCAGAATACCTATTTCAACTTTTATATATGCTGCATTGGGTAATTTTCACATCTGTTTATGAACCCAAGAAATGACTATTAAATGTTCACTTTACAGCATTATCTAAGACTTTGCCTGCAACTGAAAACCATAATATACAGAAGACAAATTTTCCTCTCTGAATTCTGAAAGTTGGCTCATTTTCTTATGGTTGAGTGAAGACATAGATCCAGCTTTGGAAACATAACTAACTCAGAGTACCTAGGTGATAGTTACAAGAAATGACAAAAGTCATAGAGATCAGCCCCATTAGTTTTCTTGCCCAGACTTTCATTGAGATTCCTCACGTCTCTTCATAAAATATCCTTCCTTTTTATAATTTAGAATCCAGTAAACATAAGATAACCACTTCTACAGTTGTACTCATTTTACATTTGAATTGCAATCTAAGGGTGTTTAGATTTTTAATAGTACCTTCATAAATATGCATTTTCAATTACATTGTTTACTCATTCTTTCCACTGTGATTTTCAAAATAGATGGGGATACTTTCTTTTTCTTATTACAAGGGATCATATTCCTACAAAATTTTGTACTATAGTACATTGCTAGAATATAAACAACCAGAAATTTTTGCCAGTACTCCGTATAAAAATGAGATGAGCATTTGATATTTTTAAAACAAAAACCTATACTGTTAAGTACTTCAGAACAAGTCCCCTCAGCTTTTCCATGTACTCTGCCGCTTGTTTCTGCAGTTCCAAAGAAAGATTAGTTCAAAGTTAGACAATCGTAGTCAAAGCTTCTACACATATTTATCGATACCTTTTACTACAGAATGATGCATTCACAATTTACAGTGATGGTTTTGATATGTAGCACATTGCCACATCCTTTGAAAAGGAAAAGATATCTTTAGAGGTAAATTTGTATCCAAGTGAATGTTAACCTCTGTCCAGAAAATAACAAAGCTTGAACATCTTTGGGTTGTTGGGGGGGGGNACTATATTGAACCACTTCATGACTGGGTAAATTACACATATGTTGAGGACACTCGACGGGTGACTTTAGAATCTTTGAACTGTTCATCTTATATATAATTGCTAAATATTCAGACTGAAAAAACATACTAAGAAAATTTTCAAGAGAACTGAAGAATAATAATTGGAGAAAATGGCTAAAAAGTAGAAGATTGGGCTTTAATAATTAAATAAGGCTGATCTAGAATTTCATACTTTGAGCTAGGAATATGTGTACAATTTGGGTTATAATTCTGGGGGATTGGACGTTGGAGCTTCATTAGTACTACATATAACTGAGATTTTGAGAGCCTTTTTGACGTCTATCCAACTCGTTGCATCTAAATATCTAAATGAACTCACATTGTTTCATATTGTGAACATTTTTTATTACACAACAGAATGATTAAACAGCATCGTCCTCCAGTCAATTTTCACCTAAGGAAAAATTCAGCAAAGGGGACGTTTGAAGAGGGATCTTTTTAGACAAAAGAAAAACTACATGTAACTTTAGCACTTTGCCATCAATTCTTTTCTACTAGACAAAAACTTCGCATTTGCATTTTGATCACGGTAGGAGAGGCACAAAAAATTGATCTATTTCTCTGATGGGAGTGCTAGCGAGAATGTTGGCCCAAGATTCCCCCCAAATATTTTGCAGTAAGATAATTCAGCAAAACTTTACATGGATCAAAATCTTTCTGCACACTATAAACCTTATATCAATCTTTTAGATAATTGAAGTTTAAAAGTACATTTTTCCAAATGAGTAGTCTCCAATAACCCAACTATAATGTCCTTCCTTTTCTTCTTCTCTTTTACTGGTTATGTAGGCACATTAGTTTAAACAATGGTATGTGCAAGCTCTTATCTCAGATTTCATACTCCAAAAGTCTGGTACGCTTTCCTTGTATTGTTTCATCTTTTTTACTTCTAGGTCTTAACCCTGTCCTTACTTGTAATTGCTGCTTTGCATTTCATGCATGAGATGAGCTCAATGAGCTAAAATCCTTGCTCATCAAGATAATAGCTTTCGCCAGCGTAATTGGTTTTGCACATCAATTATTATGCCAATGACTGCATCAAAGACCAATCTCCAAACGAAGATAAACATTACTCCTAAAATTCTGCAGTAACTTCATTTTATATTAACAACTTAGGGGAAGCAGGGTTCATTGTTTAACTAAGTAAGCAGAACACACAAACTTAACCCCATATGATTGACATCACCCCTAAGAAAAACTTCCTCCTGAAGAATGCTCAATCCATTAGAACAAGATTGACCATACTCAACTAGTACATAAGCAGATACACACAATAAGCATATAGGTACTTATAATATTCAATTTTGATTCACGACTGTTTCTTTTCTTCCTATTAGCGAAGAACAGCAGATTCAAAAGGAATATAGCCTGAAGATAACATAACCAGTTACGTGGAGTGCAATTGGACAAATCAGACAAACAAATTTTCCGCTTTTTTGTATATGTAAATGAGGGAGATTTAACTAAAAATCATCCAAATAGATATGGTGGAGAAACTATCAGACCCCAGAAAAGAGTCAAGTGAAGGAAAAATGATCAACTTTATCATAATTAGTCCGATCAAAGATGAACAACCAGAGAAATGATAGGAATAGAGATTCCATTGCCTCTTTCAACCAAAGATTGGCTAGTAAACTTCAAAAGGTCGTTACACTCAGGAATGTGGTAAGCTATAATGGCAATTCACTTGCCACTAGATGCTGCTGCTTACCATTTCTACCCAACCAAGTCTCAACCCAGACAAAGGTGTGCTTTCAGCAAATTATTTTCTTTGGATTGTGATGTTACAATTAGGAGAAAGCACAACATAACCCTGGAGTACACCAAAATTTTAGAAAATTTTGTGGAATTCTATGTCAGTTATTGATGCTTAGTTCCAAAAAGTACCTCTTTTTCCTTTTCAAATCACATTTTTCTACTTAATTTTTAGTTATTATATGTGATGTTGCACCAGTATTGTCACAAATATATGCACCATCACTCCCACAGAACCTCTTTCTTTATTGTATGGAATTTGCTTGTCTAACCTGGTTAACACTATGTGCAGTTGCAATGTTTTCATCGAGAAGGGTCAACAAGGGTCTGTTCAGCTCATTCCTCTCAACCAATTCCAATAGCTGCACGAGAAAATGGAACGATCCAAATTCAGCAACAAAATTTAGAAAATATACAAACCACACACCCACCCACCAAAAGCAGAATTTAAAGACTATCACATACAGTAGCCTTGACATCCTTTGAAGTCAAAATCTCGGTTAAGTTCTTCTTTGTTGAAACAATATCTGCTTGCATTTTATCATAGGCTTCTGCAGGAAAAAGAAAAATAGTACGACAGAATGTCAGAAGTACTTTACAAGATAACTGATTATTGAGACTTCATCATCAACTGTATCTGGGACGCAGTGGCGGACCCAGGATTTTGTGCAAGCGGGTTCAATCTTAGAAGTACATAACTTTAGTCGTAAAATAGTAGTTGTCAAGTGGGTTCAAATAAAATATTTATACAAAATTTACGCAGCTTTAATCCTAATTTGTATATATACACAGTATTATTTTTTGATGAAGCGGGTTCAGTTGAACCCGCTTGCCACCACGTGCGTCCGCCACTGCTGGGACGTGTATACTTATGTAACACGGATCGTTCAATACCCCCTGCTTCACCCATGTTAAGCCAACATGAGTTGGGTGTAATGCCATACACGAGACTTGGTCAATTCACCTAAATGTGATGACTACAACTGTCGCCGAGAAGCATAGGTTTGTCTAGGTGCTTTTATTTCAATTTTCGGATTTGATGTATGCCTATATATTTCACAAGAGGGATAAGAAAACTTTGTTATTATGCAAGCTATGCTGATAGAACAAATACTATGTTTAGCCTTAATATATTTATACTTGTTCAAGTTCAATGACTTTTAAGTTCAATTACTAAAATAAATATCTATATTATAATATACATTTGTTAGTTATCTTATCACTCGCACATGTACTCCTACGTATCTCCGAAACTTAAGAATTATATGATGACGAATCCAACTTCTGGATCTGCTCAGATACCCATACTCTTTTCCATGTAAAATAGTCTGGAAATCTCTAACAAAAGAGCAAATAGTCAACTTATCGTACCCGTTGCTTCCTGCAGGGCCTTTTGCAGTGCTTCCAGTTCAATTAATCTGTCTTCCACTTCCTGCAAAAATATTATAGTTCGTATCGTTTCACGGACATAACAGTCTTATTAAATCGAGCAAACTGTCAACAAACCTGAGTTTTGGTCATAGAAAACCGCAGCTTTCCCACTTCGACTTGCAGATGGTCAAAAAACTCTTTGTTCAATCTGCAAAGTTATATATGTCAGAAACTTTGGGTGAAGAAGAAAAAACTAGAGAAGGGCCGGACAAGAAATCCATGCAATCTGATGTTATAAAGGTCTTATGCTAACTCTCTAAAGGTAAAATGTTGCCATACCTTAAATTAGGTCAAGTGCCAATACTTTCTCAATTTTTTATAACAACATGAAGGTCAAGAAAATGGAAGATAATAAAGAAATACTCCTGTTCTGTTAAGAGGTAATTATTTGAATTACAGCTATGTAACCCATTTGTCATAATCTCAGATAATCAGTCCACCTAAATAGGCATTTATTACACTCATTACAGTGTAGGGAACAAGATACAACAGTCCTTTTCCAGGTAGAAATGAACGTTTTTGGCTGTTGGCTGATTGCTGCATAAGTTTGAGCAAAGAAAAGCTAACACTTCCTCTGCCCAACTTATATTAAATTGGTTTTCATATTGGGAAGTGCCGAAATGTTTGATACAATTCCTATAAAAAAATTACTTTCAACAAATTACCTCGGTTCCAAGATTTCAAATTTATTAAACTAATCAAATTAAAGAATTTTCTCAGTCAAAATAACCTTTCCACTATTACTTCTACTACTTAAATAATGAACAATTCAAATTAACATCTTGAATATCGCGTCCAATCAAAGGTAGCACAAGAAGGAGTACTCAGAAAGTTAAAATAACTGCATCAAAGTGTCAAGTAGGTGTTCGAATAAACAGTTAGAATTAACAGAATTGCCTGAACCACTGACAAAATGGTAACATAAATCTTTCTTCTTCTGAACAACAATGACGTTGACAACGTCTCAATCCTGCAAGTTGGGGTCGGCTATATGAATCCTCACGTTCAGTCATTACATTAAGCTCAATTATTTATAGCTTTCTTCTTCTGGAAGAGTTACAAAATTAAACAAAGTCTAAAATACATATGCATTTTCTTGATCGCAGACTTAAAATGATAAAAAGAATAAGGCGGAAACTTAGAATACTTGACTGTAGAACAACCTAAAAGAGCTGTATCTGAACTAATGCAGCCAAGATTCAATAAAACCATAGGCATTTTCTGCATGCTTTGCCACAAGAGCAGTAAAATGTTACTACCACCTAAGCTGTGACGACACTGGAGAACTCACCGTGGTCTCAGTCGGGCAATCTCAAACTCAATCTCTTGAGCTTCAGTGTCAAGAAAAAACTCCACAAGCTCTTCTACTGTATCCGGAATCACTCGTGACTATGATCAGAAAAAAAAAAAGAAGAAGACAAAGATACATATTACATTTCCATCCATAACATAACATGGAAAAAGATTCAAATATGTCTTACTAACTACTCCACAAATTGTTGCAGACCTAACACAAGTAAATAAAATGTTTCCTCTCTAGCAGCTTAATATGAAGTGGTCGCATCAATTTTAAGTATCAAGTACATCCTAGATTCAACTCTCTATCCAAAAAAACATTTCCACGTACTTGGCACAAGAAAATGTACCAGTCCACACATTGAGGGGTGTGTTGCTGGCCTGATATAATAAGAGTATAAGTTCTATATATTGACAGCAGTGGCGAAGCGAGGAATTTCACTATTAAGGGTATCAAAACATAAAAAAGTAAACATACAAAGAAGCTAAGGAGATTCAACATATAGTAATTAGTATATACAAATTCTTGACCTAGCTAAACAGTGTAATTTTTCGTCAAAAGGGGTGTCAATTAACACCCCTTAGCCTAAGGTGGCTTGATTGATGGCGTAAAAGATATTTAAACACACGTCACAAATAAGTAAATTGCAGGTAAATCTTTATGAACATGAATTCAACAAAAATTACCTCGCGAAGAACTCTTCGACGCTCTCTTTCTTCACGGACTTGACGTTCAAATTCTTCTCTGGCAGCAGCATCTTGCTCAAGGCGTCTCTTGAACTCGAGTCTAGCTATGTGACCTGTTTGGGGCGCACCCAATACGCCTTCTGGGTCCTGTAATCATAATTCAAGTTCACCATTTATCAAACACTTAGCAAATTACTACTATGAGAGGTACATATAAAGAGGGGAAAAGAGGATATACCCATTCTAGTCTACCCGTGCAACGAATTGGGTTTACAAAAGTCATGGGTTTATTGAATTTGGTCCTGTGGAAGTGAGCTCCAATGGCGGAACTAGCAAAGCTGATGCTGAATATTGCGGCCATTGATGGCCGTTATTGATTGAGCTTTCAAATGTCTGGTTCTTGCGGTTGGTTCGTTTCCTGCTGCTTTATCCGTTTGAAATGCGCACCAAAAATCTCTTATCTGCAATTTTTTTATCAGCTGTGTAAAAGATATTTATATAATCAGATTCATTAAAAATAATTATCTTTAATTACATTCAATGATGTAATTGATAATTTGTAAGGAGCGGTAAGTAACCAATATCAAGTTAAATTACATTATGTATTAAAAAGTCAATACAATCACATGTCTATAACATAAATCCTTTTCTACTAGATGCAATTGACCCGTGCTAGCATGAGCCCAATAATTTGTGTTTTATTTTTTATTGTACTCGTAAAATGCAGAATTTTTTAGGAAAAAATATTAAGGTATTAAAGTTTTTAGAGTTTTTCATTTATAATTACATCTCAAATAAATAAAAACCAAATAAGTTTTTAGCTCAGAATAGTAAAAGAAGAAAAATATGAGTTTGTTATGTTATTTCAATTTTTCAAGTAAGACTGGTTTTTGCGTAACTGTAATAACTGGGGCTTCATATGAAATCTACCTTTGTGCGATAAGTTCATTGACGGTTAGAATTGTAAAGTCAAATTTAACGTAAAATATTTTTTAATTAATATCTGATTGCAATAAATTGTGATATTTTTCGTCGAGTAGATTCTCAAGTTGAAGTAATTAAGATATTTTGGTTTGTTAACAAATTCTATGTGAATTATAGTAATATAAAAATGATAATAAGAAAACTATTATGTTAATTATCAATTGTTTTTTTATTCATATTAAAATTAAGATATACGATTCATAACATAAAACTTGTCTATCGTTTTAAATAATTAAAATTTAATATATAAATAATTACTACTAATAAAATGTCAATTTGTCTACTAAATATAACTACTTCACTTTTGGAAATCCAAGTACTACACAGTATTAGTGCAAAGATTAGCACCCTCAACTCCTCAAGTGACAACGAAAGGGTCACAACACATTTGGTTTAGAAGCTCGACAATAGTGTTCACCGCTACAATTTCGTTGGATACCTTCGAATTGACGTCTTCATAAAAAGCTTTCTATTGGTAAACTTAAATAAATCTATTTGCTTTATCCATACATCTATATTTATACTTCAAGTTTAACAAAATCAGAAAAATGATACCAAGTAAGACTTTCTTCTTTTGGAACAAGAAAACTCATATTCCCTCCATTTCAATTTGTTTGAAACTTTTCGGAATACGATATTCAAATTGATTAATTTTAATGTGAATTTGGACATAAATTCTTTAAGTTGTTTGAAATAAAACTTATATATTTAAAAACTAAGTTAAAAAGTAATTTAAGTCACAATAGTTAACGACTCAAAATATTTAACACTATTTACAAAAAATATGATCAAAGAATAGGTTCATTCTTTTTGAAACGGGGGGAGTAATAATATTAGGATTTTGTTTGATGAAATTTAAACCTTATATGATCAACTAACTAAATTAATGAGTTTTCTACGATAAGAGTTGATTCTCATCTTCATCCGAAATGATACATTAGTCATATATTATTGAATGTTAGTTTTGGCATAGAAATTCAGTTAAAATTCAAGTTCTACGCTAAAACTAATTAATTTATCTTCTAGAATACTAAACATATTTTCTTTCATATACTATCACAGTTTCAGCCAAATAAATTTGTATAGAAATCCATACAAAATAATAAGACTTGAGATCGAAATTTTTTTGTTGATCTTAAAAGATGAAATAGAATTTATTGTCAAATACAGACAAAGTAAAGTAATTATCTGGTTCTTTTGTCACATACAGACAAAGTACACACATAAAACAGTCTAGTACAATATCTCTAAAGCACAATCATATTGAAATGACAAAAGTTTCCCTTGATCATCAAGCAGGCATGACGACCCTGAAATGCTTCCCAAGCGGCTTCTATATAGTACTAGATAGGTATGCCCTTGCAAAGTCCGGACCCAACATGAAAGTCAATACTATATTTTAAGTTTGCCTCAAACTATAAAACTAAAGAACACAAATTTAAACAATTAGTTTTCATGCTCTAGGTAAAAATAAATTGATGGATGATATTGAAGACGGCAATAATTTGGGATAAATATATATTTATTTGGCGAACTGACTAAATGAGAAACAAAGGATAGAGAATATGTAAAAAATCTCTTTTGATTTTTAGATTCTAAATTCTTCCTTTTTTTCTCCCGCTTTTTCTGTGATGCAAAACCTCACCACACTACACAACACTTCGACATAAGAGAAGAGGACTGGGCGCTTTCTATCTTCGGGATAGGAGTTGGCGGTCTTCTTTAAGAGAATTTCAATCTAATACTCATTATGGATCAACTCATGTTTCCACTCTATTGTCATTACGAAGATGTATCACGTCAGGATCTGTTGTTCAAATCGAATCACGCAAACGTTATCGAAGTTCCTGGATCGTGTAAAATAATAGTAGTACCAAAGACGGCACCTTCTATCAAAAACGAAAAATTGGCCAGCAAGAATTCACACTGACAAAACTAAAAATTTGCAATCCGCTGAATTAGCAAGATGACTATGGTTCTAGAAAGTTCCAGCTGTTTTAGTGATACATATACTTGATAATAATATCAGTATCATTCATACCATCTTGATACAACTTATTCTATTTGTGCAAAGGCAAAAATGTGAAAAGTCATACTATTCACTTTCCACAAGAGGAACAAGTTTTTGCAAACAAAATCACTTAACTAATAAACAATATCACATTGTGTCTCTTATATCACTCTAAATTCACTTGATTAAATTTTCTACACATAGGCATTCCGGTGTTTTTCTTAAAAATAACTCAATCGAGCCACCAATTTTTGAAGTGAAGTCTCAAACACAACCTACAAATAAATCACGAATAGAATATGATGAAATGCAATTTATCATAACTAACCTTTGAAAGGAATCGACAGACCCAAATGACAAATAAACAAAAGGAAAGGCATATATTGATCATAATTATGAAAATAAGTGCGGATAAAACTAATGAATATGTATATAGCACTAAATGTGACAAACAGAAGATTGATCTTCACACTTATCAACATATACTATTTACCAAAATCAACTTAGAAACATAATGAGGCACTCGGAAGGTCCAAGATTTCCATGAAAATCTAAAATTCCTCTTTCTCGTGGCCTTACAAACAAATCTTCAAAATTCTCGCTGAAAAGCTTATTATTTTCTCATTTGAAGTATAACTTACATATTAAGGTAAAAATTATCAATAGTCAAACTAGGCCTGGCAAGTGGGCCGGTCCAGGCCCGGGATCGGCCCAGGACCGCNCAACGGCTATTTTTCTTTTAAAAAAAAAACGTTGGGCTGTCAAAAATAGCCGTTGGCTATTTATGAAATAGCCATTTAATCCCTCAACTTTATTTTAATCCCAAACTTTTTATAATTACACTTTTTCCCTATTTTCAACTATAAATACCCCATCATTATTTTATTTTTTCTTACAAAATCATCAATCTATCACAATCTCTCTC